GAAAGGTGGCAAAAACAATGGGATAAGGAGAAAAAAGGTCGATGGTTTTACAGAATTCAAAGGAAAGTGGGAGAGATGAGAAGTGCAGGGAAAAACAGGAGAGATGAGATAGTAATATCAAGGATGAGATTTGGACACACAAGATTAAATAGTACACTTTATAAAATGGGTAAACATGCTATGGGAAGGTGTGAATTTTGTGGACAAGAAGAAACAGTGGAACATGTTATACTGTACTGTCAGAAATTTTGAAGATTTAGAAAAAATAAAAATGCAATTTATACCGAGATATATTTTACAAAATAACTCGAGGAATGAATGCTATAGTTTTATTTTTCAGTACCTTAAAATAACTAAATTGTGGGAGAGAATATAAAAAAAGAAGGGAGTATGTCATTTTGATCCACACTCCATACCAGTTGGTGGCGGAAATACACCATTTTGTTGTTTGTCAACCGCCAATAAAATTTCAAGAAGAAGAAGAAGACCAATCATCGTCGTAATACTCCATCATGTGATTGAACCAGGAAGTGAACTCCTGGCGTAAATTCCAAGAGGTGAAAGATTCCTTTTTTTTAGAAGACCGTTCTTGAACTCACTGATTATACAAGGTGCACCGCTTTGATGAAATGTGATCGGTCGGTTGTTAAGTGGTGACGTAAGAAGCGCTGTTTCCGGGTCCAAGCCTCTACTTGCTTCACTTGAGAATACTACCTCAGCAGCCGTTTATGAGCACTGTTTATTCATAATGAACATTTAAGTTAAACGTTTTCAAACTTACGGTCTACACTACAGTCTTAATGCTCACAACGTCCCAAACACAAATTATTTTTATATTTATTTATTTATATTTATATTTTCATTGTCTGGCTATCTGGGATTTCGGTATGGAGTTAAAGGTTAGGATTATAATTTTTTTTGGTAGTATTATATCAAATTTTGAGGTTTTATTAGCACCTTTTGTTGTTTTCTCGTGGTATCTGAGAGCGTTTGGACACGGAAGCGGTGACACGTGGCGTCAGACTTAACAAGCGGATATTGTCTTATTACGGTTACAATATAATTGTAACATGTAATGGCAGCAGGAGTACAGGGCAGGTGAGTTGAACCTCGCTTACTCTGCTTGACCCACTGGCTAATAACCTGAAATCAGAGAGGACATAAAATCTAAAGACTCCTGGAAGACTAATGATAATAATTATAATGATTAAGTAAGTGTGTGGGGGGCGGGGGCTTTGGGGGTACAAGTAATCAGAGAGCACTCTTTCTTCCGATACTTGATTTCTAAATGACAGAATGACACATTTGTCACCAGTGAATATAATTCACAGGTTGTCCAGTTAATGAACATTCGGCTGCAGGAGCGTGGGAAAAATAGACGCCATATGATATGCCAGCTCTTACAATGTCAGAGATCGAGGACTGTCAAAGACGCTTTCAGGCGGCTGTCGACGTCATTCAAAGTCTACCCAAAAATGGTAGCTTTGCTCAGCATTGACAAAAATTACATTATCGCTGAATGACATAATCACTGTTATGTATAACATCATCTTGTTGTAGCAGATATAAAATTTGCACAGCTTGTCATTGCAAGCATTTCTTCACACTTATTTGCATAATTTACAGCAGCTCATGACACCTGGGGTAAATTTTAAATTGCATTTGCATAGGTTCCTACAGACCCTCTTATGAAGTGATGCTGCGGTTTTATGGTCTATACAAACAGGCAGTCTGTGGCCCATGTACAGTGTCCCGCCCCGGATTCTGGGACCCTGTAGGCCGTTACAAATGGTAAAGCTTCTATCCAGTTATAAACAGCATATTCAGTGCTATAATGTGCCTAACTAAAGTTCAAGTGATGTTTTTCAGAGCCCTCAGAACATTTAAAGGACTGTTTTAACTTCATGGCATTGTTTTACTGGTCTTGTGTCAGGGATGCTTGGAACCAGCTTGGAGACATGAGTCGGGAGAATGCCATGGCTGCTTATGTGGATGAAATGAAGAAAGTTGCACAAGAGGTGGGAGAGCTTCAATAATACCAAATAAATTCATAAAACAACTTCAGGGAAAATATATTGGAAAATATTCTTTAAAACAAATTTGTATTCAGAGCGGCCAATCAAATAATTTTTTTCCATATAAATTAATTTGTTGTCATATATTATTTACAGGTCATAGACACCATGCAAATCAATGAGAAGACTGCATCCTTTTTCCACTATTTTGAACCTCTCTATCATGTCATTCATGATATGCCCAGACCTCCAGAGGCACTTTTATCTCTCAGATCAGGTGTGCATTTATTTATTTTGGTAAAATACTATGACTTATATGTGATAAATCTGTGATTTTGGTGTGCATTTTAAAGATGTAAATGCCAAAGAACCAACTGATGGTTGGGCTGATCATGAAGTGGAGCGGGCAACTCAAGAACCAGCTCTTCAACCGAAGGACACAGGGATGGTCCCTGAAAGTGAACTTAAAGCTGAGAGCACAGGTAGTGAAATGATTATCTATATATGAGGGATCCTGAATATTTTGCAGCCCACCAAAACACATTTTTACAATGGAAAATTTGGGTTTTAAGCTTGTACAAACAAATACTTGCAATTTTACTCTGATAATTTACATTTGTTTTATGTCTTTGAATTATATTGGAACCTACTGTGGCTGAAATGCACCAGTTATGATCACTATCCAGACATGTCTGACCAAATGTGTTTTTTAAACATTTCACAGTTGCATAAGTAATAAATGATAGCAAGATTGTGTGCACTATATTTCTTCTCTTTCATCGCCAAATATGTGTGTAGAGGTACCTGTGTCTGAGGTTCAGGGGCCGACTAGTGACTCAGAAAGTGAAATCTTTTGTGACTCATTGGAACAGCTGGACACTGTTAAGGTCTAAAATTTTACTAAATCTAATTAAAATTTGTGTGACAATCTATGTCCCGCATTTTGTACACTTTATTTTTTTGTGCACTTACAGCCTGCTGCAATGCCAGATGGTAATGCCAGTTCCCAGAATGAGCATGCACACATTGAGACCTCTGGAATCCAGGAGAATCATTACAGCCCTCTCTCTCAGGTGACCATGTTCGGTGCTGGACATGGTGGTGAGGGGGCAGAAGATAGGCATGGTCCTTCCAAGAGGAGGAGAACTACAGGAAGAGAGGGGATGCAGCAGGGCTGGAGGGACCCCTCCGGTAAGTTTAATCTGGATTTTTAATCACACATTATAAACCTAAGCCCCTTTTTGGCTTATTGTGTAACTATTACAAGTGAAACCATGTAACAATATTTTGGTAAATTTTATAAAATTGTTTTTAAATATACACTTGCACGGATCCCTACATTTACATAACATTTTAAGAGTTTGGGGTCAGTAAGCCCCACTGAAGTGTCTTGAAACCATTTATCTATAATAGAGAACTGGATTGCTCATAACGTTGTAAATAGTGAAGCCACTGCCAGGGGTGTACTTAACCAATAAGCGAGGTAAGTGACTGCTTAGGACTCCAGGGACTCAGGGAGCCCCATCTGATATTTGCAAAACATATTTTGCAAATGCTCCAGTGCGTATTTGTGTTTGCACTCTGGAGAGTATCAAAAGTTTCTATTGCAGTGTTGAGCAGTGTAGCCAATAACAGACATATCTGTTTATTTCTTACGTAATGGCCAATCAGAGGTGTTTAAGTTAGAATCCACTTACCACTTGAAATGCCGTAGTTTATGTAGTGTATGTTTATTGCTGAGTTCTGTGTGCTCACAAATCCTCTCATTGTAATAAAGAAAGTGTAGACACAGTATGTAAAGAAAAGATTCAGTCTGCATTGCAGAGAGCCTCATGCTTATAACGGAACTTCGTAAGATTGCAATGAACTGAAGTGAGTGACAGCTTTTAGTGATTATAAAGGGAGCCCTCTTTGAACACTTTATAGGCTATATATAATCCATTCATAATTTTAATAAATGGCTTGTTTTTCATGCTGCCAAGAGAACCAAAGGCCACATACATGCTGCAAAGTTTTGGGAATGACATCCGCATATAAATGCATTCACTCTCAATATTGCAATAGACTGGACAAAAATATGTCAAACTAGATATGCATGAAAGGATTAGTTCACTTCTGAATTAAAATTTCCTCATAATTTACTCACCCCCATGTCATCCAAGATGTTCATGTCTTTCTTTCTTCAGTCGAAAAGAAATTAAGGTTTTTGAGGAAAACATTCCAGGGTTTTTCTCTATATAGTGGACTTCAGTGGGGTTCACTGGGTGGAAGGTCCAAATTGCAGCTTCAGTGCAGCTTCAAAGCGTTCTACACGATCCCAACGATCGGTCATTTAAAAAAATAAAAATAAAAATTATATACTTTTTAACCTCAAACGCTTGTCTTGTGTAGCTCTGCACAAAAAACGGTAAAACAGCGATGTAGGACGATTTAGAACGATTTTGAAGTTGGAGGAGAAAATGAGATGGGAGTTTTTCGATATACCCTAACTGTCATGAAACGGAATGCACAGAGTTCATGCAGAATTAGACAAGACGAGCGTTTGAGGTTAAAAAGCATATAAATTGTTTTTTTTTTTAAATGACGTTTCGCTAGATAAGACCTTTCTTCCTCGTCTGGGATCGTGTAGAACACTTTGAAGCTGCAATTTGGACCTTCCACCCAGTGAACCCCACTGAAGTCCACTATATAGAGAAAAATCCTGGAATGTTTTCCTCAAAAACCTTAATTTCTTTTTTCGACTGAAGAAAGAAAGACAGGAACATCTTAGATGACATGGGGGTGAGTAAATTATTAGGACATTTTTAATCCGGAAGTGCATGGCATTAGAGCTGCTACACCGTTGTCGCTTGCGAAATCAAAATGACGGTGCCTTCAGGGGAAGTTTACAGATTAAGGGGCGTTAATATTATAATGAGATCCCTTTGCCACGTCACCAAGTGAGCAAAATCAAACGCGCTCGTTTTCTCAGACGCTTGCAGAGAAAGGCTTACCAAAACAAAGTTACTGGGTTAATCTTTTACACGTTTCCTTGGTTGGTAGATGCACCTTGGACCTGATTATAGCACTTAAAACCTGGAAAAGTCAGATTTTCATGATATGTCACCTTTAAGGCTAGAGCACGCTCACTAATTTAAGAAGCATCCTCAGTGTTTTGATTCTGGAATTGGGCCTGCTGGTAAATGCCAAATAATTAATAATATATAAATAACATAATGATTACAAATAACAAAATGATTAAATGTTTAGTTTTAAATGAATACATTAGTTGTAAATGAAATATTTTCAATTATTAATACAAAGAAAACAATAACTGAGTTAGCTCATAGCTTACTATACATTATTTGTTCACCTGACAACTGATTGTCTCATAACAGAGACTTCACCTCAAAGAAGAAAGTATACACATACTTTTAAGTTTATAAGCCTCTTGTTTCGTGTCATAATTGTATTCATTTTGATTGAACTGCCATGCACTCGCATGAATGTACACAAGTTCAACAACCAAACATTTTCGCCTAATAATAGATTTAATTTTCGATTTGTTTCTCGGCAAAACCCACTGTATGGCTTTAGAACACTTGGGATACAGTTGCATGAGATTATTTTATGACATGTTTGAATCCTTTTTGTAAATAGATTAAAGAAGGTCACATGTTCAGGGATTAAAGTTCTCCGTCGCTACGACGGATTTCCGTCAATTGCAGTGAGTCTACGATGGATTTCCGTCAATTGGAAAAAATGAGGGGAAAAGAAACATGTAGCGCCGCGCGTTGTTGTTGTTGTTGACACCAAAAATCATCCGGCTGCAGCTTCTCAGTGACAACATAGTGATGCCGCTCGCATCATTCACAGTCAGGTTATTTGCAGAGAACACAGAGCAGAACTTGAATTTCGGCGCGGGATTGCAGCTATTAATAACAATTCTACTCATTCCCGCAGGTTCCGCACTTACAACACGATGACAGATGACGGAATGTATCATTTGCAAGTATTTGAGTCTTGAGAACTCACTTGTGCGTTTTCATTTTCTGTGTGCACACAGATTGCGATAAAGAGAGTGACAGCTTTTAATAGCTATTAAGGGAGTTTGCAAATGTGATATTGATTTAATACAACAGTTCATACTAATTTCATATGATTGGTAACTTATTTGTCTTATTCTACTTCTTATTATATTGTTTTAAATAGACATTTTAAAAAGCTTATAAACATAAATTTTTTAAATTTGACAGATTATAAGATAACATAGACATAGATAAAAAGAAAATACCCATGTAAGTCACTTTAAGGAGTCAAATGTCACCTCGTATTAGGAAGGATCATTTTTGATCAGAATTTTTGATTATTGATCAGAAGGTGCTCCTAAATTTTTTTAATTTAGGAGGACAAGCGCTCTTGATTACAAGAAGAAAAATAACATTTCCGTCACACGCTTGAGGTATTCGGTCAATCACAACGCACTGGATAGCTGGCTAATCAGAGCACACCTCGCTTTTCAGACTGATGAGCTTTGTAAAAATCGACGCGTTTCAAAAAGGCGGGGCATAGAGGAGAAACAATAATGTACAATATGTGGAAAATAATGTTTTTTTTTTACTTTAAACCGCATAAACACATTTCATTACACCAAATACACAAAATAATGTTCTTTTTAGCAGCATCATATGACCCCTTTAAAGAGACAGCAACCTAAATAAACCTCCTGCTGCCTTTCATTATACAGTGAAGAAGACTACCCAGTGTTATTTTACAGTTGAATAGATTATAGTTAGAACTAACTGAAAAAAATAAAATACTGTTAATTTAATTTGTATCTTGTTATTGTTTTTGTTTGTGCTATTGATTGTCATTAATTTATTTGTTCTTATTTTATTATTTACTATTTACTTGTCTTTTTTTAGTTAAAATAAATTAAATTCTGAGTGCACGTGATTCTTGGGTGGGGAGGGGGCGTGGTCCATGGGAAATAGTCCTGCCACCACAGCTGGAAAAAATCCTAGAGGAAACACTGCATGCATTTAATAAAATTATAAAAATGCCATTACAAAGGTAAAAAGAAAATGCCCCTGTAAATCACTTTGAGTCAAATGTCACCTCATATTAGGAAGGCTAATTTTTTATCAGAATTTTTTATTATTGATCAGAAGGTGCTCCTACATTTTTTAAATTAGGAGGACAAGCGCTCCTAATTGTAAGAAGAAAAAAACTGCTCTTAAACTGGGTGTGTGACAGGCATGGCTGTGGAATGGGGTTTGGCTGAGGAAAAAATTTCAGTCAAAATATTTGTATTTGCTTTAACCCCTGCAGGTTACTACCATTACATGGACAAGTGCTATGTATGTATGTATGTATGTATGTATTTATTTTTTTATTTTTTTATTTTTTTATTTTTGTGATCCAGAAAAAAATAAGGTAATAAGATTTTAGACTAATTTGACTTTACACTAATTTGACTGATTATTTACTAAATTTAGCAACACTATCAGATAGTGTAGTTGTGTAGGGGTAAATAAACTACAAACTATGATAGAAAGAGACAGCAAAATAAGTAAAAGGGCACATAATTAGTGTGCTGGTGTCACGGAGTCACCAGGCTCTCTCACCACCAGGCAACAATCCCAATCACCTGAATTCTGAACACCTGCACTCAATCAGCATACCCTCATCAGCCCCAGCATATAAGCACACACCTCAGTTCAGTCTTTGTCTGTCCTCGATTAGGCTACGTTTTAGGGGGGCGTGGCAGAGTCTTAACTTTGATAAAGAATATCTCTTTGGTTTTGAGACTTTAGTCTTTGCAACTTCAGGGATCTTATCTATGCACAATCAGCTTGTAACACTCCAAAGAGAAAGGAAAACTTGAAATCGCATCATATGACACCTTTAAGGAATCAGTCGAAACGATGAGAAGAGAACTCGCCGGTCACACAGCTCCACCAATCACCCCTGCCACGTCCGTTCCACACTGTCCTTCTCCGATCATTGTCGCCAGTCCCATGGTCAATCCACCGCCCTACTCTGGCGTGGCAGAGGATTGCAGTGGCTTTCTATCGCAGTGTTCACTGGCACTTGAAATGCAGCCACAGCGGTTTCCTACTGAACGTTCTAAGATCTCATATGTTATTTCTCTGTTAACAGGAAGAGCTTTGCAATGGGCAGAAACTATGTGGTATCAGTCTGGTCCAGTT